ATATATATATACATATATATATATATATATATATATATATATATATATATATATATATATATATATATATATATATATATATATATATATATATATATATATATATATATATATATATACTGCATTTCATTCCTTACAGTCTGTATACTACATAACATATAACCTCCTTGGACTAAAAGAGTTAGTGAAATGCCAATATATTATTATATTACTCCGAAAACCCAGGTTAAAAAATAATGAAACAAAGCAAACAATAAAATAATACTGTGACCTTGATTATTGTATATAAATGTATAGTTATCTTGATCAAAAGTGATACAAGGTGAGAAAAGAAACATGTATTCCACTATAAAGATTATTATGGTGAGAACAGAAAAAGGTTAGTCCACTCTAAAGATTAATAAGGTGACAAATGAAACACTATAATGATTAGAAATAAATTGAATCCAGAATGCCAGAGGCTACTGACCATAAGATGCTGCGATGCTGACAAAAATCGCCTCTGAAGATTAAAACAGATTTGAAAGCAGAAGTTTTAAAACATGCTAATGGTGTGAAGCCATGGGGATTAGTTAGGAGTTGGGTTATTCTCACGGCACTCCTGACACATCCACAGGTGCTCAGATTCCATTCTTAACATAGACTAATAGTGCCAGTTCTTCGCTGGTCGATACAACTTTCTGTATCTCTGGTGTGCCCCTCGTGAAAGGCTGTGACCATCTTTACTGTGAATTCTTACATTCTTAGCAGTAAAGCTCCCCCAAATGAGTTCCTGGGCTCCATATCGGAGAGCAAAGAATTCACCCGCAGCGACTCTAACAAGCATGTCACAAAAGGCATCTAATTATGGGTCTTTCTTTCAAATTAGGACTGCATCTGCCTCAGAGGCGTGGAACCAACAGTCTGCAAGCAAATAAGCCAGAAATGTAAAATGGATATGCGTCAAAAACTCAAATTCTGAAACAAGACTAAAGTCCAGAAGTGGATGAACAACCAGAACTTTCCACGAGAAGTTACAGCTGGTGAACACTAAAAAGAAAAAGAACAGTGATGTGGACACACTGCGTGGTCATTAGAAGACTTGCTTACGAAGTCAGTTGTCCAGGTTCAATCCACAGAATAAGGAGAACTTACTTTGGGGTTCGAACCAGCCTCATTAAAATGGGTATCAAAAAATTTTCTGGAAATTGCCAGGAAGGAAAGGCAGCAAGGAAACAGCTATGCCACCAAGACTTCAAAATAAGATATACTTTTATTAATACACATTAGCACTTGTAGAAATCATTCAGTTCCTCTTCTTCAGCATCATCATAATTTAAGTGTTGTGGTTTACAGAAAAGCTGCAAAATCTGCAACTACTGGCCCAACACACCTGATTTCAGCAGTTCTTTAATTCATCACCTTGCTATCTTCACATTCCAACTTTTTTCCCTGGGAATCTATGAATTCAACATCTGTGGCCTAATGGTGACACCATTATTGACTTCACTGACAGCAAGGGTCGGTTCACAGGTGAAATTTGGAATATCATCACTCATGCTTCACGCAACACTCTTGGCAGACAGCTAGCCATTATGCGGTGAGACTGAGCCATATGGAATCAAACCTGGTGCAATTAATTAAGGAGTCGAGTCAATGAAATGCCAGTTAAAAATGGGTATTAAACAAGGACAAGCGTGGTTGAGGGGCAAACAAAGATGCCTGTCAACTCCTACATAGGATAGTGAGATGGCTGCTGCATTGTAAGACAGAGCACCAATGGATTGGACTGATGTGCTAGGATGTCAATATGAATGACAAGCAACAAGCAATCAGGTCAATCCTCTGGGCTTTAAACTTCTACTCTATGGGTGTATTTCTCATGCATTAGAAAAAACAAGCAGAAAATTCTGAAATCTCTGGCCCAACTTCAATGGGGTAACTGTAGTAGGAGGTGAAGATCTAGTCAGATTTGGCAAAAGTGAGAAGATCTATGCAGATTTGGCAAAAGTGAGAAGATCTAGGCAGATCTGGTAACACTGAGAAGATCTAGGCAGATCTGGTAACACTGAGATGATCTAGGCAGATCTGGTAACAATGAGATGATCTAGGCAGATCTGGTATCACTGAGATGATCTAGACAGATCTGGTAACACTGAGATGATCTAGACAGATCTGGTAACACTGAGATGATCTAGACAGATCTGGTAAATGAGAAGATCTAGACAGATCTGGTAATACTGAGAAGATCTAGACAGATCTGGTAACACTGGGATAGCAGCCCAAGTGGATCTAGCCTAAAAAACAAAAAGGAAATACAATGGGAAGTAAAAGATGCTAGCATGATATTAACCACATCAGCCATGTTTCTTAAGCCTCTGTCAAGGAGATAAAACATCTTTTCAGTTGCCAGAGCTATTTAACCTCACTAAGCCACAATTTATTTTATATTTATGTTTTTCTAGGCACAATTTTCAGTTTATTTCTAAAATGATGAAAATGATGATGACGGTGATGATTGTGGTGGATGATAATGATTATGGTGGATGATAGTGATGATGATTGTGGTGTATGATAGTGATGATGATTGTGGTGTATGATGGTGATGATGATTGTGGTGGATGATGGTAATGATTGTGGTGGATGATGATTGTGGTGGATGATGATTGTGGTGGGTGATGATGATGATGATTGTGGTGGATGATGATGATGATAATGACACACATCTTCTCAATTATGTTTCTGTAATTTTCCTTAACCATAAATGATTTTATGTATATATTTTTTTGTATAACAATCACCAACACCATTAATGATCATCAGTTTCTTGTCTAAAATGATAAAGAAAATAAAACAAAGACAATAAATGTGAAGGTAATGAAGTAGATAGAACAGTGTGGCATGCGCTCATGCTCTGGGGTAAATGCATGACTGGGTTAAATGCAAAAACAAATACAAAATCATATCCATCATCAAATCCAACAAATGTTTATCTAACATGATTATTAAAAACCAAACAAACAAACACGAAACAAAACTAGACTTGGGTAAAGTCAGCCATGGCAAGAACAAGAAACATGTAATTTAGCACAGACATAAACACAGAAGAAGAGTTCAGAACAAGAGCAGCACATGCAAGGCAACAAAAATGACAGAAATGTCTTTGTGATACCTTCTTTTGTTTTCTTTCTGTTGTTTAAGTGGTTCTGTTTTAGCTGTTCTGTTTATGTTGTTCTGTTTACATTATGTCTATGTTTTATTCAAGTTATTTTGTTAAAGCTATTCTGTTTATGTTGTTGTGTTTAACTCCTTCAATCCCACAATATTCTAGCTAATCTCTGAGGGAGTTGAGAATGACAATACTCAACTCATGTGCATATAACTTCCAAAAGGTCCGAAAACACAACCCTTACAGGAAAAAAAAAAAAGGTTGTCAGATTTCTTTAGTGTCATTCACTAAACGTAAGATATAAAATGACAATCTAATGTTGATTTGTGCAGAAGAATAATAGCCAGTCAGGAATAGTGCATTGTTTGCGACAGAAAGAGTTTTAAGTTTTATTTAAGTTGATTTATTTAGGGCGTTTACCTTACGTTACTCTGTTTATAAAATTCTGTTTGTGTTCTGATTAAACTGTTCTTTTTATGCTCTGTTTAGTTGTTCTATTTTGCTGATCTGTTTGTGTTCTGTTTAAAATGCTATATTTATTTTGTTCTGTTTGAACTGTTCTGTTTATGTTGTTTCATTTGTTGATCTGTTTCTGTTCTGTTTAACCTGCTATATTTAAGTTGTTCTGTTTAAACTGTTCTATTTATGTTGTTTCTTTTGTTGATCTGTGTGTGTTCCGTTCAAAGTGCTATATTTATTTTGTTCACCTGTTATGTTTATGCTGTTCAGTTTTGTTTATCTGTTCATGTTCTGTCTAAAGTGCTATATTTAAGCAGTTCTGTTTAAACTGTTCTGTTTATATTGTTTTGTTGATCTGTTTGTATTCTGTTTGAACTGCTATATTTAAATTGTTTTGTTCAAACTATTCTATTTATGTTGTTCAGTTTTGGTGATCTGTTCATGTTCTGTCCTGTTACATTAAAGTTGTTCTGTTTAAACTGTTCTATTTATATTCCGTTTGTGTTGTTGCCAATTTTTTTATATTCTGTTTAAAATGCTATGTTTAGGTTGTTCTTTTCAAACTGTTTGATTTAGTTCTGCTGTTGTTGTTCTGTTAATGTTGCTATGTTGACGTTGTTGTGTTTATGTTGTTGTGTTTATGTTGTTCTGTTTATGTTCTGTTTATGTTGTTCTGTTTATGTTGTTCTGTTTATGGTGTTCTCTATGAGATGCCCTGCTAAAGTTGTTTCATTTATTTAATTTGTTCTGTTCAAGTTATTCTGCTGAAGTACTTCTAGCATTTAAGTTATTCTGCTTCTGATGTCTGTTTAAGCTGTTTGTACTATGTTACAAAAGATGTTATATGTTTAAAGGATTAAATTCTTAGTTAACATCTGTATGTCTAAGCTACATTCAATGTTAACTGTCTAATCTGGTCATGAATTTACTACTTTCTATATCAACTACACTAATGTCTATATAAAACTGTGTTAACAATTACGTCTGTTGTATTCACAACTTTGTTAACAATTACGTCTGTTGTATTCACAACTGTGTTAACTATTACCTCTGTTGTATTCACAACTGTGTTAACAATTATGTTTGTTGTATTCACAACTGTGTTAACAACTGCCTACCTTTTCTAATGTAAATAACAACATCTAAAACACTCAATATGTTATGCTGTCTACTTTGTTACTTTTCATGTTAACAAAGTCTATGGTAAATTGTTAACATTACTTTTTGTTAACAAATTTGTAGTTAATTTTCTGAAATGATGCACGGACAGTTAACATTGGAAGAAAGAAAAACACACACACATACAAGCTGAGGACAAAAAGACAAAAACACATAAGACAAATAAGCCATGGTCAAGGTGTACACAGCGAGACAACCGGTCAGAGAGGGCTACCTGTGCATAGGTGTGATGATGGTGGTGCTTGTGGATGTTGTGGCTGGGAGAGTGTGCCGAGCCGCTGGAGCCACCGCTGTTGTTGCTGTTGATGCTGCACATACTTGACTTGCGGGAGCCCAGGGAGGAGGGAGAGCTGGGAGGGGAGGACTGTTGGTAAGCCTGCCCAGGTGGAGGTGGTGGTGGAGGTGGTGGAAGTGGTGGTGGAGTTGGTGGTGGAAGTAGTGATGAATAAAGCAAAACATATTTCATTTGACACGTGTGTGAGATAAGAGTGGAGGGTGGGGGTAACAAACAAATTTAAATAAATAGGCAACTATCCTCTTTAGAAAAATGTTGCAGCTATCTTTCTAATGCACACATGATCACATCTGTCCCTAATCCAAAAATTGACCATATGTGTCCCTAATACAAGACTGTCCACACCTGTTCCTAATCCAAGGCTTAACACATTTGTCCCTATTACATTTGTCCCTAATCCAAATTTTACCACACCTGTCCCAAACCCAAAACTTATCACATTTGTCCCTATTACATTTGTCCCTAATCAAAGTTGACCACATTTCAAATATACAGTGAAGCTCGTATACAGCTCTTATAACAGTTGACATTAAGTTTGTTTTTCAGAAACATAAACATACAGCATGTACAAACATTGAAACACATTATAACATGGTGTTAGCTGAGGATTCTTTGGGGGTTAAGACATAACGGCCGCTTGCCAAGACTGTCGCCGTCCACTCTGCAGGCTAGGTTTGGAATTTCCACTTCTGGTCTACATAATCCCTTGTCTGATGGTGGATTTAAACAAGTGTCACCTGTGTGAGAGGCTGGCATCCTATTTTCTTAGTTGTTCTCATTTTCTTCTGCATTCACATGGCTGCGATATTTGCGCCTTTCGTCCAAAATATTAGAACTTCTCTGGACATTTGTTGCAAAGCTTAGCCTTCCTAATTAGTTTCATGTGACACTGCCGTCTCATTGTCTCTCCCCCCTTTTCCCCTGTCATGCTGGTCCAGAGCAACCAAGTAATGCTGGTCATCCCTCAAGAGAAGGCATGCCCAACATGCCCAGCTGTCCAAGGAAGCTTCCATAAATGCAGAATCAATACATGGTGCTCTAGACTGGGCAGAGCCAAGTAATCATCCCATCCTGCTCATGAGACTGTTTAACCTCGTGTCCATATATTGGGCCTCACATTCATCAAGGGCTAAGCCTTTAGAAGCCAACAGAAGGCCAGCCGCAGACCTGGGATTACCCATTCAAATCTTTGTCATCTCATTATCTTGTGCTGTGCGTGAGGCAGATTTTGTATTCTTTCAAACGTATGATTGTCACAAGATGATACAGGAAGTCAATTCATTCAGCTATAGAAGCAGTTTAAGAAAAAAACCATTGGACTTTTAGATCTGCAGCCGAGCATTTAGCCACTTCTCTGCCTCGCCATTGGACAATTTAAAATTGTCCTCTCAAATGATGGAAAAATGTCGATAAAGGGTTTAAAGTGAATCCATGGTCTGGATTTAGAAGAAAACTTCAAAGCCACAATAGCAAAACAGACTCCATGTCTAAACTCATGCGACAGTCAACATCCACTACAGGATCTGAACAGCAACAACACAAGCGTCCATAAAAACATGTCTAATTAAACAAACAAACATAAAATTATGTGCCATCTGCCCCCATAAAGGCTAGCTGAAGTGTACCCCGCTGCGGTCTCCGAGAATTTTACAGACCCCCACCTTTTCGATGCAAATCTATTACCACTGTCAAAAAACCACTACAGCGCGCTTTTTCTTTTTCAATAAGCCACCCCCCCCCCCCCTCCCTTTTTCCCCCCTCCTGATAAACCCTGGTATTTAAGGATCATGAAACTGTTAACCCTGTTCATTAACCTAATCTCTAAGCCACAGAGTTACAATAATTACTGAACAATGAAAACTAAAATTTCAATCAATCCTTTAAAATAAAAACTAACATTTAATTCAATCAATAACTAAGATTTCAATCAAAACAGTTAGCACTTAGTTAAGAAAACTAAAATAATCTCCAACTACTGAATCTGTCATAAACACTACTTAATGAACAAACAAACAAAAGCTCAAAATAACTAGAGAGATTAATCAAAACAGCCAGTACTTAGTATTAAACAATATATAAATTTCCCATTTTTATATAAACACTTTTAACTGAAGTATAAAAACTAAGATTTCAATCAAAACAGCTAGCAATTAGCTGCAAAAACATAAATAATCTCCAATTACCGAATCTGGGGAGTCGCCGTGGCAGAGCGGCTAGACGCGCGCTGCGGATCGGAAGGTCGTGGGTTCGCTCCCTGGTGGAGACGGACTTTTCTTCAAAAACGACCTTAGCTCCCAGGTGGACCCAGCCTTGAGTGGGTACCGGGTGCAATCCCGGGAAGTAGAGGCGGCCGGCATGATGCTGACCACATCACCCATCTTGTGCCGTTGGTCTATAAAAAATATAGGTCTAGCCCTATATGCCCTATACGCCTAAAGGCGTGGAAAGGGTCCTTTACTAATTACTGAATCTGTCAGATAGCAGAGTAAATATAATCTTTTCAAATGAAATCTGAAGCAGAAAAAAGGCCTAAGAAATTATGCTCAAGAAGAAGGGTAGATAAAAAATGTAAGCACTTTTATGTTATGTGCAGTAGTTTGCAAGACATTTTAAATATTGAGTAAGTATATACCATAAAATCCCCATCCCAAAACTGTGTGTGGGGGTGGGAGAGAAACTTAAAATTCCCACAAAAGAAAGACCTAATAGTTTTTATGAACTTTTATTAAGGTCACTCATGGTGTTTGTCTGGTCAAAACTGTTCCTTAAATTTTTCAACTATTTCCTGGTGAGCCATTAAGCTCTAACTATCCACACATCCTCTTTGTAAAAGACAATGCAGATTAGTGCAATAATATTATGTTAAAAATATTTTTTTTATTAATAATACAAAGATGTAAACCTGAAAAACTGCAGAGCGATTAGAGACATATCCAAGCAAATAACATCCTAAACTTAACGGAACTATATCAGAGAGTGTACGCTTAAAACACATGAAATAAGGAAGGAACCGTCAGATTACAATTAGATTTAGTCAATGCTTATATTTTATATTAGTCTGTGGTAAAATATTCATATATGTGCTAGCCATAAAGGATACTGTAACATAAAATCTAACAGACATATGTATATAGCAAGAAGGCCAATATGTACACTCCATAAATGTGAACACAACTTCACAACACATGATATATTCTGTATAACATATGACAGCCAAATATACTGCAAATATGTGGATGATTTAACGTCAATTATTTTGTTTGAGAGAGTAACTTATTACAGCTGCATCTAACATGTTTAGACTGTCTTTTTCTACTCTGGGATAAAGTCGTATTTTAGACTTGTCATTTTTTTCTGTGGTTTTTTTTTTTTTTTTTTGGCACAGCCAGACCTTTTTTTTTTTTTTTTTAATAATCTGGCTCCCTGGTCTATTTGGCCTTAAATGTGTATCAGGTAAAACTCCTGGCTAGTTAAGGCAGTTGGGAGTGACTAACCACATTGCGACTGCTTTATGAAGTTTGAAGTTTCAACAATGGATCGACATCATGGCACACAGATAGTAACCCATAAGTGCTCCGTTTTTCTTCTAACTCAAGTCTGAGTCTGAGGAAGCTTAGCACAGTGCACAAACTCTGTAGCCCCGGCGAGGATCCTGAAATACTTTGGGTAGATTTTTAACTTCAAATATTGCCCGGGCAGCGCTGTTCGGCTACTTTTTTCAATTCCAAGGGTTGTTTTTTTTTTTTTACGTGCGCAACAAGTCCACATATGAAAAAATCCCAGCCCTTACCGGGGATTAAACCCGGAACCTAGCACTCCAGGTGGATACCATGCCTTGAGACCAGGCAGCCCCGCCTGCTCTATGAAATACAGGTCTAGCACTATCTGCCCAATATGCCCAAAGGGGAGAAAAGGGTTATTAACCTGAAGGCTCTCTCTGCCTGAGAGACTTACCTGTGTGAAGTTGAAAGTGGTTGTATCGATCCCTTTGAGGTCAAGTATCACCTGCTCGCTGGAGGCTGGAAGGACTGCAGGCTCCTTGGCTTGCATGCACAGGTTCTCCATGATCTCATTGATATGGGTCATCTCTGTCAGCAGTTTCAGCTCTTGGTCCTGGGATTTGAAGGGAAACAAAATTGAGGCAAAAAGGAGAAACAGCCATGTTATATTTATTTTACAAGATGAACATGTAGTCAGACCGCAACTAGTGTCTGTTTTGGAGCTGTGCCAGCTGTTGAGCAGTGAGCACTTATAGGAATATTCAGAAGGCTGTGATGTCAAGGAAACAAGTAGAAGTCCAATTATTTCGTAGACAAAGTTTCTATGTGGATTCTAAGACCCGCGTCTAGATTGTGGTGGGGGTGGGAGTGGGGGGAGAGATAGACTGACTTCTTCTCTTTTATTGCCCCACATCTGGGGGATTCTGAGATTTCGTGGGGAGTTCCTCGGAAAAGTCCAATAGTACAGGGGGTTAAGGGTGCAAAATGAACACTGACTAACATAAACCCTAAGGCCTCCCTCCCCCCCCCCCCCACCCCCCCTACTGAAAAAGAACCAGACCCACTACCTCCCTAACAAATATGTCATGACAGTCGACTAATCAGGGGTTTCATTTCAAGTCACATGTACCGCCGGTGGAAAGTTCTGGTTGTTGATCCACTTCTGGACTTCGGTCTTGTTTCAGAACCTAAGTGTTTGGTGCACATTCATTTTACAGATCTAACTTCTGTGTATGCAGACTGCTGGTTCCTCACCTCACATGCAGGTGCGCTCTGACTTTGAAGGGAGCCCCAATAAGTCTACTTCTTTGGTATGCTTTCTGAGGAGGCAACAGGTCAATTCTTGTTTTCCATGAAACAGGGTGAATAGTCTTGTGTAGGAACATGAATACAATCACAACAGATGGCTTCTAGGAGGGGTACTTTCTTACTACCCGACCACAAACAGGGGAAATCCACAGGTCACAGGACAGTCAAATATTTCAAGGGGTGGTAGATTAAGCGTACAGTTATGATCAGGGTTAGGGTTGAGGTTATGGTTAGGTAAACACGCAAAAACCTTTGCCTTGGAAGAAAAGCGCACACACACAAAAACCATGGAAAACCCGCTCTTACCACCCTCTAAAATACTGGACTGACTGCCCCGTGACGCTATTTGGGATCTAAAAAGAAAACACACTAGCAGGTGATAAATACAACAGTATATATAAGAAATTGCCCGGCTTTCTAGCGTAGTTGGTTAACCCTGACATCGCGGTGACCGGGTGACGAACTCCTTGTGGTTCACTCCCGGATGTAGGCAGAAAAACCACATTTCTCCCAGATTTACGGTACTTATCATAGAATCAAGGCCAAAGGGTTGCGATATCCGTAGTACTGAGCCAAAAGGTTAACAACTCATGTTTGCTGGATATGGAAAAAAATATATATATATATTAAAGAGATTAAATCCACTTACGACAAAAGGCTTCAGACAAGAGATGAACAGACAGAATCGGGATCTCTCCTCTATCAATGCCGCCCGCACCGAGCTCTTTCTCAGTCTCCTCCAGATGGTGGTACTTGGAGTTGACCTCTATCATGGCGGTGTCCAGTTTCTGCTGAGTATCTGTTTTACCTGCCAGAAAGAAGGGGGAAAAACATTCAAATGTGTATTATAATATTTTTTTAATAGCGCCAAAAACACCTGCCATTGCTGGTCCCAAGCCGGGATTAGAAATGAGGAGGGTTGGGCTTGGGGACGGCTCTCTTACTGTACTAATTATCTGCTCCAGAAAGAAAAATGCCTGGTTTTTTTTTTTTTTTTTTTTTAAGAAAACGATAAACATAACAATTATGGGATGATTTCAAAAGGGGTAAAGAAACAATAAAAATATTTGGGTAATCACTAGTATCAACGGTTATAAGATAGAGAAGATGGCGTCATATGGGAAAAATTTTGACAAGAGACCAACAGGGAATCACTTAACAGGCACAGAAATGGGAAACAGAGGGACTGGACAAGGACGCCCAAGCTAAACCCTAAGACGGACGATAAAGAGAGAAGCAAAAGTTGCTGGTCTGAATTCCATCTTTGCTATCGAACTGATTGCACAGGAAAGGAAGGAACTGAGAGACTACCAGCCCTATGTGACATTTAATGGCACCGCAGGATAATAAATGAATAAATCAGGCCGTAAGCATACACACCACAGACTTAGACACGTTCCCTGTTGTGACTTTAATATCTCTATTCTCTCACGGAATACTCCGGAACCTACGGAAAACATACGAAACTTCATGGAAACAAACGATTGGGGAAACTCAGGGGCTGCTGAGAAATCAGATCATTAACGCCAGCGTTAGACCAGGCTGGGTAACTAGGTCCATCAACTGGCCACGGCGAAGACGTGCGCATGAGTCACGGATTTGACTACAGCAGCTATGCTTCATAACACACCGCCTGGAAATGAGTTCCAGCTGCGTTTCAACCTTTAATGCGCCAAGCGACGTGCTGCACCTTAATATACAAGTATACGAAATGAAAGAATATAATCCTTGATGAAAGTTGTCTTCATCACTCGTGATGGACGAACCACATACGAATGAATGAATCAGTCAAGAAGTAACGTCACTGGATTCAAGACAGTTCCATACGTGCTCCCTAACTATGCTAAGTAACCAAAGAAAAGCTGCCATACTGATAGCACCTGTTGCAGAGTGATTAAAGTTCGCATGTTTCCTACCTACGGGAACCCATACCCTCTGCTAACTCTCAGCCGAAATATTATACCTAGATATGGGATGATGTCTGTTCTGCTGCACTGTTTACTTGATCCCAAACAGCCTTGACCATGTCAGCTTTGCAGTAGAGTAGCTCAACGCCCAGAGGCTCGGTAACGGCTAATCTGTCAACCTGTTCATTTCATACAATTCGAACGTCCTGAGCAACAACAAAAAACCAACAATTTGCTTCTCACCTGCGTCTGATCAACCACGTCCGGCTGCATATATAAATCTGGAGCTGGCCGTGGATCAACCTATGCCAACTATTATGATACCCGATTCTACTTTCTGAACCTTGCTCTGAGAGACAGTTATAATGAATACGTCTGTAACTATATTATATAAAGCGAAGCACTGATCTGTATTGCAGCCGTCGTAGAGTAGTGGCAAGACGCACACCTACGTATCCGAACGTGTGGGTTCAAATCCGAACGTAGCCGGACTCAAGTTTCACAGTGTTGCTCCCAGGTTGGCCCAGCCTCAAGTACCAGGTAAAGCCCTTAAAAGTCAAGACGGCAAATCACAAACGGAATGTCGATCGGTCTATAGAGTGTAGGACTTGCATTAGATAACCAAAACGTCTAAAGATGGCTCTGTGTTGAGATGTAGACCAAGTGCCAGGGGGTTCATTGCAAAAGCGACTGGACGTCGCAAGCATATCTTCAGAGATCCCAGGCAGTTCGCGTTCTTTAGATATTTTCTCCAGGTCGTGCCGGTGTGCTGGGAAACGAGCAGGCAGACAGACCGGTCGGTTCTGCACCGCTTGGTGGTGAATTAATGTTCAACAGTCTAGATGTTGTGAGGGCCCTGAGGGAGCGAGTGAACAGCGCGGAGGCACAAATAGATCATTACGGTCGGGGAAGAATGGCGCTGCGAGGAGTTACTAGGGGTTCTAATCAACACTCAAGGAAAAAACGAGACACATGTACAATCAGACAGTTACTCGTACCATCAGAATTGGAACTCTTCGCTTGCTGCTGAAGATGGCGACGGGGCGCTTATGGGAGTGTCCCGGGTGCTGTGATGTCGACTCCTAATTCAACATTCAACATGTGTCTAAAGATGTGGAAAATGGTCATTTACTGACCTGTCTGATACCGTCAGTGTCATGGGCTACGGTACACACAAAGGAACGAAATAGAACTAACCTGGCGTTAACATTCGTGTCTGTTGGGAAACGAACAAGCAGACAGATTAGCTGGCCGGCACCACTTAATGGTAAATTGATGCATGACAGCCAGATGTTATAAGGGAGGGTCCTTTAGGAGCGAGTGAACAATGTGGGAAACACAAACAGGTTGGCATGGTCTTAAGAAAATGCTGCAGATAGTAGTGACCAGGGGATCTGGCCGATGGTCACTACTCAATGAAAGGCGAGACGGACATGCAATCAGACTGTTACTGGTATCACAGGAATTTGATCCCTTCCTTGGCTGTTGAAGATGGGGACAGAGCGCTTATGTGAATGTCACGAGCGCTGTGACGTTGCTATACCACTGACGTCATACTTCCGGCCCAAATACTTTCTCTTCCGCCTGTGCATGAGTTCAATCTCTTGAGGAGGCGACAGAAAGCGCGTGCAGATCGGGGTTTGGACCTGGGTCAGCACAATCGGACCAGACAGGTGTTGTGTCTAGCCACAGGTGAGAAAGCATACACATTGTTTCGCTGCCATAATGCGTGTAGTCCAATTTTTGCACCTGCCCATTTGGAAGCTGGTGGTAACGGGAAAAGGTCAGGGGTTAAGCGTGTGACCCAGTACCCAATACAATTACACCAGGGAATTTTACCAAGGGGAAAGAAGGCTGCAATGCAGCGGTTCTCAACCTGTGGGTCGCTATCCTTTTCTGGGTCGAACGACCCTCTCACAGGGGTCACCTAAGACCATCAAAACACATATTCATTGAAGTTATGAATGACAATAATTGTATGGTTGGAGGTCGCCACAACACGAGAACTAACTGTATTTAAGGGTCGGGCATTAGGAAGGTTGAGAATCACTGCTGTAGTGCATCGTTTGGCATTGTCGGTGCCTGGAGGAAAGTTTGAGAAAAGTGCGCCAAGAAAGAACAAAAAGCAATTACAATTCAAGAACGCCACCAGTCGTGGCACGTCAACGACACAATGAACCACATCTTAAATGCCAGTTTTTTCTTCTCCTGCGTTCCCACTTAAAGGGGCGGCTGACTTGGTACGCTGTGGTTTACAGCTAGGTTGCGGTATCTGTGCATGTCGAAAAGAAGAGATCTGGCTCACAGGAGCGCCCTTACAAAAGAAACTATGCAACACATACAAAAAACCTCCCTGTTGTTTTCGGACAATGTTACCAGAGTCGTGTCGTGGAAGAGACCTGGGTGTCACCGATTTGATGTTGCCAAAGACAGCAGGGAGTACACTGTGGGCAACCTACATTGTGGAGATGGCACAGATGTGGCTAAGGGCATGGGCGAAGACCTCAGGTGCACCGTCCTGTTTTATGACGCATATTTAGAACATTTTTAAAAAGACTGTACCAGAAATTAGTGAAGGACAGTGTGGATATGCAGAAGGAAAAGGTACAGACAATACCATAAACATCCTCAGGACTCGGAAAGGGCTACAGATCTTTACTTGTGTTTCCCATCAACGCTTCGACCACCAAAGTCTTTATCAAGGAAGTACTAAATACGCTTGGAAAACTCAACGGACAAGACAATGGAGCTTCTAGAAAACCTAAGTCAACACTAAATAGGGATTGGCTGCAACAAGCTGATGACAAGTGCTAAATACAGTTATGTTGTATGTAGCATCTGTTGTCAACATCTCGACTGGAGTCCGTCCCCCCCCCCCCCCCACCCCCTCCCCCCGCATCCACCACACCCCCCTTAATTTACGTCCGCGGTGTGGACAGGCATGACTGGAGTCGCCCCCTACTGACCTCCGCCGTGTCGACAGGCATGACTGGAGTCGCCCCCTACTGACCACCGTGTCGACAGGCACCGCAGAATCCTCAGCATGTTGTACTGAGATGCTCTCTTGATGCAAAAGAGCGATCCCAGGTTGGATCGGGCATTCTGGTAGAAACAAAGCTGTGTGGACCATGAAGGCCTACGACAATCCATAGCCTTCATGAAGACCTGAGGCCTTCTCGTCTGAAAATCAACCGGCACAGAGAACTCAAGTCTGAGTTCGAAGAAGCTCGGCATAGTGCACAGGCTCTGTAGAACAGGCGAGGATCCTGAAATACTTTGGGTATATTTCTAACTCCAAATTTTGCCCGGGCAGTTCCGTTAGGCTACTCTTTTCGATTTCCAACTGCCAAGGGACTTTTTTTTTTGCGCCACAATTTTACGTGCGTCCACAATGCACTCGGGCGTCCTCTCTCTCTCTCTTCTCTCTCACTCTCTCTCTCTCTCTCCTCTCTCTCTTACTCTCTCCTCTCCCTCTCTCTCCACGGTCTCTTTCTCTCTGATCAGGCATCTCTCTCCTCTTTAACTCCTCTGAACTCGCATAGCATCTTAACTCTTTATGTTCCTCTCCTCTCGCTATCTCTCTCTCTCTCTCTCTCTCTCTCTCTCTCTCTCTCTCTCTCTCTCTCTCTCTCTCTCTCTCTCTCTCTCTCTCTCTCTCTCTCTCTCTCTCTCTCTCTCTCTCTCTCTCTCTGTCAATGACGGTCGCATGTTAATCATTAAGACTTATGGAGACAAACTGACAGAAACTTAATGAAACTCGGGAGTTTAAGTCACCAACAGTGAAAGCTAGCTGCTCTACCACAGTAATGGTAATATAAACTGTCACTTTTTCTGTGACCTCGGTTGCCCGACCTGAC